GGAGGTGGTGTGTGTGTGTGTGTGTGTGTGTGTGTGTGTGTGTGTGTGTGTAGTTTAAAAAAAAAATATTCCACTGACCCAAATCTCCTAGAGACCAGCTCTTCCAAGCTATTTAGGCCCTGACCTGAGAGAGCTGTCTCAGGAAGTCTGTAGGATGCTCAGTGCATGTTGCCAGCTGTCTAGTTTTATGGCCTCTGGATTGTCCCAGAAGTCCTGGTTTTTCATTGTACCTCAGAGGTAGTAACCCTAGAGGGGCAGGGCTCAGGGGTTGCTGATCTGGAGGAGAAAGGACTGGCAGAGGTTGGGAACTGCTGCATGGCAGTGCTGGCCTAGGGCACATTTTAACAGACTCCCTGTCAGATTATTTTATTTCCCTGCTGATCGAAGGATTCTTTCTCTAACTGTTTGCAGTCAGAGCTCAATCTGCTGCCTGTCTGCTATCAAAAGGTGCTTTTTGCCCAAGAGTTATGCAGAGGGAAAAGGCAAAAGTAGCAAAAATACCCAATGGCCAGTGATGGGACACTAGATGGGGAGGACTCTGAGTTACTACAGAGAATTCTTTCCTAGGTGTCTACCTGGTGGGTGTTGCCCACATGCTCAGGGTCTAACTGATTGCCATATTTGGGGTCAGGGAGGAATTTTCCCCCAGGCCAGATTGGCAGATCCATGGGGTTTTTCGCCTTCCTCTGCACCATGGGGCATGGGTCACTTGCAGGTTTAAACTGGTGTCAGTGGTTGATTCTCTGTAACTTGAAGTCTTTAAACCATGATTTGAGGATTTCGGTAATTCAGCCAGAGGTTAGGGGTCTTTTACAGGAGTGGATGGGTGAAGTTCTGTGGCCTGCAATGTGCAGGAGGTCAGACTAGATCAGTGGTTCCCAAACTTGTTCTGCCACTTGTGCAGGGAAAGCCCCTGGTGGGCCGGGCCGGTTTGTTTACCTGCCGCGTCCGCAGGTTCGGCCGATCGCAGCTCCCAGCTGTGGGAAGCGGCACGGGCTGAAGGATGTACTGGCCGCTGCTTCCAGCAGCTCCCATTGGCCTGTAGCAGCAGACCATCATGATGATGACGGTCCCTTCTGGCCTTAAAGTCTATGAAAGAGGAAAGCAGTTCACAACATGAGGAGAGACTATGTTACAGTTACACCACCTAAAACAACCTTGGGAAAGGAAGAAACAGCACCTGCTGCTGGCTTACACGTTTTAAATGCTGAAGCCTGGGTAAGGCTGTCTAGAACATTATTATGAATAAATCTGTTCTTTTCCGTGCTCTCATTACATTTCTGCACTTCTGGACTTCACCTTTCTCATTTCAGCACCAAGATCATGGACATCAGAAAAGTACACATTCTGATTGTAATAGTGATGGCTGGGATCATTGCATACTTTGGGTAAGTGTTTCAGTAAATGCTTGGGCCTGATCCTCCGGTGGAATAAATCCATTTACACCAGTCAATAAGCTAGAGTTTCATTTCTCTTGGGGCTTGAATAGGCACAGGGAGAGAATAGATTCAGTAGAGCAGGTTGGAACCTTTTTCAAATGTTTATTATATCCAAAACCTTTTCATCCAAAACCATTAATTGAAGATTTCCACAGAAATTATTAATTAAAATAGCAACAGAGGGTCCTGTGGCACCTTTGAGACTAATAGAAGTACTGGGAGCATAAGCTTTCGTGGGTAAGAACCTCACTTCTTCAGATGCAAGTAATGGAAATCTTCAGAGGCAGGTATATATCAGTGTGGAGATAACGAGGTTAGTTCAATCAGGGAGGGTGAGGTGCTCTGCTAGCAGTTGAGGTGTGAACACCAAGGGAGGAGAAA